CATTTTAGAAAGAATAATCCAATAGAAAGAAAGGTGGGTTCTATAGATGCTAGGTGTCATTAATGAGAGACACCTACATTTTCTGTACCCTTCTGTAAAATGCAGACAGAACATATGCTCTTCCTATGCTAAAGAAATTGGGAAAGGATAAAGTTCAATCAAAAGTAAGTGTGACAAAAATTACAGTACACAAAATGAGGGAAGAATAATATATAGTTGTCACTCCTACACTCCTCAGTCCTATCTTTTAAGCTATAATTGCCACATGAGCAGACATGGAAGGTAGGTGGAGATGTAAGCAAAACTCTAAGATCAATGGTTGGCAAACTACTGCCCATAAACAAAGTTCAGCCTACCACTTGTTGTTTTTTTTTTTTTCAATAAAGTTTTATTGGAACACTTAAACACCCATTCATGGATGTATTGTCTAAGGCTGCTATCACAGTAAAGCAGAATTGTGCAGTTGTGACAGACGATATGGCTCACAAATTCTAAAATACTTAATCTTTGCCCCTCTACAAAAAAAGTGTGTTGACTCTTCTGTAGAGTATAGAGAAATATTCCTTTTCTTATCCACCCTCCTCAGCACCAAACTTACCAAGATGATCCATTAGGGCAGTGATGGCGAACCTGTGACACGCGCGTCAGAGGTGGCACGCAAACTCATTTTTTTGGTTGATTTTTCTTTGTTAAATGGCATTTAAATATATAAAATAAATATCAAAAATATAAGTCTTTGTTTTACTATGGTTGCAAATATCAAAAAATTTCTATATGTGACACGGCACCAGAGTTAAGTTAAGGTTTTTCAAAATGCTGACACGCCGAGCTCAAAAGGTTCGCCATCACTGCATTAGGGCATAAAATAAAAAATGTTAAAATTTATATTTATAATTTGTTTCATCTAAGAAATAAGAAAGGGATTAAGACTTACTACATTGGCAATGGAGCCATGTGTCCCATAACATATATGAGGAATCCTGAGCAAAAGAGGAACTTCCACAGCACAGAGGGGTTACCTACTCTGCATGACCTGTTCATATACTTTCAGCACATCGTGACTGCTACTATTCCTGGGCATCTGGCTAGGTGGCTTTAGGGATTATATTATTTATTTTTAATTAATTAATACAAAATGAAGAAAGGGGTTTGTGAGGATTCTTTCAAAGATAACACAGAATGCATACTCTAGTAATTAAGCAAGCCTAAACATACAACAGTTAAAAATGGTAGAGCTAACATTGTATCTCCTAGTATAAGCTCTTTGAGGCAATAGAATGATTATAATTTAAAGACATGCTCACTCAGGTTAATCCTTTATATATGTGTCTATGTATGTGGGTGTATCCATGTATGTGTGTTTGTGTGTCTGTTCATGATCACGCTCTCCAGCAATCATGCCCCGTCACATCCTTGTCCTAACTGTACACTCACTTCTGAAACCACTGGGTGCTCACCAACATCTCTGCCTGATACCTGACTTGAGTTATTTTTCTTTCCATCCCACCCTTTTTCTCCAACCAGAAACACTCAAGTGTTGCTATACAAAATCAATGCTTCATCTGCCCCTAAGATTGAGAATTGTAATTGCACATGTCCCTTTGAGTCCTGAGGGAACAACCTGGAAACAGGTCTGTAAGTATCCCTTCCCTACCTCATTTTCACCTTCCCTGCCCAAAGTTTTTTCCTCTCACCATAATTAGAAATATGAATTAAAATTGGCTAGATTTCAGCTTTAAAACACAAGTACATTGGACCCAAAGAAGAACAACAGACTTTGAGAGTTTTAATATAAGAATCATAGAGATCTACATAAAAATTTCAACTTCCGCCCTAGCTGATTTGGCTGTGAATAGAGTGAATAGAGTGTCAGCCTGTGGACTGAAGGGTCCCAGGTTCGATTTGGTCAAGGGCATGTGCCTTGGTTGCGGGCACATCCCCAGTGGGGAGCGTGCAGGAGGCAGCTGATCGGTGTTTCTCTCTCATCGATGTTTCTGACTCTCCATCCCTCTCCCTTCCTCTCTGTAAAAAATCAATAAAATATACTAAAAATTTTTCAACTTCCTCCTTCACTGTAGGGAGATCTTGCCAATAACACTCTGGATTTCTGTTATGCTAACCTGTAAAATGGGTGTGATATTACCTGTCTTTCCTTTATCATGATTATCAAGGATACCTTAAGACAGTCTATGAATTATAAGATCATTTTAAACTATCAGTATTGGACTGATTTTAAAGACCAATCATTTTTTTTTACTTTAAATCCATACTAAAAACAAAACAATTCAGAAGGTGGAGGAAGGAGGGAGACAGCAAAAAAAAAAATATATATATATGGTTTTCTAGCTGATATACACTCTCTGAGTATTTTACATATGCAATTTTACTTAATCCTCATAACAACTGCATGATCCTTCAATGAGATGCTCTGATAATTACTTACCCAAATCACACCATCAGTAACTGATCCTACATCTATCTAAATTGACCCATTTTAACCACTGCACTGCATGTACACACTTTATAGCTTTGGATAAATGACTTATTCTTTTGGCAACTTATTTTCCTCATTGTTAAAGGGATAGAGAGAAACATCATGCCACAGGGCACTGGCTACATTATCATCACTAATCCTAATAAAAGTCCATTTTTAGAAGTGCTTTATATTCATGTTTTCTTTGAGAAACTAAGACAGCAATAAAGCACTCTACCAAGCCAGTTGGTTGGGGGTGGATGGTGGAGTGGCGCTAAACTTCAACCACCAGCTCCAAATCCATTTTCCTGCCTGGCGGTGTATTTGTGTGATTAACTAAGACAACCTAAATGAAACTGCATAGCAAAATATCTGGCACACAGTAGGTATACAATATGTAGAGTATGTTTTCTTTCCTAAATAAACTTATCTTTTCTCTTGGAATATAATCAGCATAATAACTATGCTCTATTTAGAAGGCAGAAAATTAGGACTGAAGAGAAACATCAGTCTGGGTTGACTAAATGAAGGAAAAGCTGTTGTTGGGGTATGAATGTAGACTGTGATATGCAGACTGCAAATTTTCCACTAGGTTCCTTCTTGCCAGCATGTGCTATTTGAGCAAACTTCACTCTCAATTCTTTTGTTTTTGAAGAAAAACATTTCCAGCTAATAACACAATTACACTTAAGTATCAGAGCTCATTTTAGTATTATTGCATTTGTTAAATCTAACTGAGTCCAAATTACTTCCTCATTGCTCATAAGAGAAGGGGAGGAGGAAAATGAGGGGCAGGGGAAGGACTGAGGTGGGGTGAGGATTATGAGGGTTAAAGGAAGAGAAGGAGACATATGCACAGAGGGACAGAGACAAAAACAGAGATATCAATGCTGCATATAGCCTCAAGTCCAATAAATGTCAGTTAAACTTGCTGCCCATGGTTTCTATGGAAACCCCTTAAGTTAAGAGTGGAACACAGACATTTTTTGGACTGCAATTCACAAGCTGTTTATTTAATTATGATGAAACATGAGACTTTTTGGGCCAATACTATTATCATACTGATAGCATTTAGAATTCAACAAATAGGTATAGCAAAATAAAAAGTTAGTTTCTTTAAAAAAAAACAAAACTATTAGCTCTATGTGATTTGCATGCAAATAATATGCATCTTGAATTTACAGGACTTCACACATGATTTCCCGAAGGCGAACCCCAAATTATCTAAATGACATTTGCTAAAAGGGAGTTCTTCAGAGGTCTCATGCCAATTAGACACCCCCCATGCCCAGTGAACAAAACCAAGGTCACAGCATATTTTCAATTAAACCCAGGATAGCACCAAAATGCAGCACAGCTGGAAAAGCAAGCTCATTATTACCTCATAGATCATTTGTGAGCAATGAATAGGTCTCTGGTGCTTTGCTGTTATACAGACATTTGAATATAAAAATAAAGAAAACAGCTTCAGATTAGCGTTTGCCTCCCAAAATAAACAACCACTTTTAGGGCATTATTCCTGGTGCCCATCCCACCCCCCCACTGAGAGAGAGAGAGAAAGAGAGAGAGAGAGAAGAAAACACTAGAAGTCATCATTTCTCTGTCTCTAATTAGAAAAGGTTTGCTTTGCCTTTAATTTGGCAACAAGGTACCATCTGAAAGATGGACTCATTCAAACTCTTGTTCCTTCACTAAACAAACAAGTAGTGTCATTCTACTGTGTGTCAGGCACTCTTCTAGGGACAAGGAAGGCAAGAAGATTAAACCCTACTCCCAACTTAATTGTGGACTTTTTAGAAGGGAATGCATTAATGTTGTTGGAAAATATTCAAGGAAGGACAACTATGGCTCATAGGTACTGGACTAAAATAAATCCAGGATCCTGCCTTCCAGGAGATGACAATGTAACGGAGACAAAAAGACACTTGATCATAAGTCACAGAGCAAGAAGTCAGTACTTCCGCCTGATGCCTCCTGATCTCCGCTCTATGGATAGAAATGCCACGCACGGATGCTGTGCTACAGTCAGAGGTAAGCGTGTTTGGGCATATGGCATGATTGGCTGGTGCGGGGTGTGCAGTGAGGAGGGACCTCCAGAAATATTTCCACAGGAGAAACACTAATCCAGCTCCAACCATGAGCCACCACTACCCTTATAACATCTTTAGCCCTTAAAATATGACTGAAGGAGGAGGCACTCACAAGGGAAGGGAATCCCAAGGACAGCCATCTCTGGGGCCAAGCTGGGAACATGAAGGCTGTTTCTAAACTGGCAAAGAGAAACATACAAGGAATTTGCAAAAAATGACTCCACATATGTCTGTTCTACTATATTGCAGCCTCTTTTTAAAAAAAAAACAAAAACAAAAACAAAACCAAAACCATTAGTGGTTTGCAGTTGCTCATGCTGGCAAAGCCAATCATTGCTGTTATTGGAGTTGACAGTGTATAATGAGCCACTGCCCATTAGCTGATGCTGTGGTGTTCAGGATGTTGTGGGAAAGACTGAGCATGAATTGTCACCCACCTAGCTCTCCATTGTGGTCTCCATGCATAAACAGGCAACGTGTTTGACAATCTAAAAAAACAAAAGCATACATTAGAACAACTCAGCGTATTTCTCTATCTGCAGCCACCACTATCACCACAGACAACACTGGTGACAATATTTACTATTGAATCACAACTGTATTTTAACACTCTCCCGGGAAGAAAGCCAAAACAGCTATCTTAACCATTGACCATTGTGAACAATGCATTGCTTAATGCAAATAAAAAATACAATTGGTGTCAGAAGATCTGTAGTCTATACTTGGTTCTGATTTATCAGATGTATGACCTTAAGCAAGTCCCATGTTCTCTCTGTTCCAGTGTCTTTATCAATACCACCTCTGAAGATGAAATGGGATAATGTATTTTGAATATAGATAAGAAATAAGCAGAGCTCTCTGAATTATTAAAGTCAAATGACATGTTAAGAATTTGACATTAGTTTCTGCGGGAAACTCCAATTGTTTCCCACCGCCCCCCCCCCCCATCCAAAACCAATAAAGATATGAACATCTCCTCATCTTCCCCATCCTTCATCCTGCCCCTACTCTCCTCCTAACACTCTGGTGGCCATGGCAGATTAAAATTTAGAATCTGATCTTGAGGGCCTCAGAGTAATCGAAGCAAAGAAACATGAAGAGGTCGAGTTGGCATTTTGCACAGATGATGAAGTAAAAGAAACAATCTTTCATTCCAACAAATACAGTACAGATCTTTACAGCTTAGCTGTGCAGTTGGCATAAGCTGCAAAAAAGAGGAAATCGTGAACAAGAGCAGATAGAAAAAGCCCATGCACTTAGTCATCAAGGCCCAGAGACCGACATGGATATTGAAATCACCAAGAATTCTATCAGGAGCAGGACTGCAGAGAACAACAGGGAGGTAGGTGTTAAAATCTTCAAGGGATGAGGAGGAGTGAAGTGTGTGTCTGTGGTTGACTCCTTCAAGGAGGTGCTAGCAGGTGGTGGAGTCTGATGGTGTAAGCTTCTGAGCTGAGTATTTTACTGTGTGACATGTTTTTTTTTGAAACAGATAACGTAAGTCAAAATGTTTCATAAACTTATCAGCAATATACCACAGATGAATATTATTATTATTCCATAAGTAAAATGGAATAAGATTAAATTTTATTTCTGTGATGATCTGTGCATTTTTTGTCATTGGTTTTAAAAAACGGTTTGGCTGGTTTGGCTCAGTGGATAGAGTGTCAGCCTGTGGACTGAAAGGTCCTGGGTTCGATTCCAGTCAAGGGCACAGGCCTGGGTTGTGGGCTCGATCCCCAGTAGGGGGCATGCAGGAGGCAGCCAGTCAATGATTCTCTCTCATCATTGATGTTTCTCTCCCTCTCCCTTCCTCTCTAAAATCAATAAAAATATATATATTTTTTAAAAATGGGTAACTTAGTCTTATAGAAAGTTTCCCCAAATATCACAGTTTCAAGAACCATTAACTATCCTTCAATAGGGCATATAAAATATGAGTTATAAGTTAATGTGCTTGGGATTTATAATAATGTGAGAGCAAGGCAATGAGTAATGATATACGTGTGTAGAGGGGGCAAAGAAGAGGCGGGAGATACACTTAGGTCCATTGCTAAATCAAGAAGCCAATTCTCATTTCTCATATTAGGCAAAAATTAGCAGCATTAGACCTAGTGACCACTCTGTCCTCCCTGCACGTGGCTCCCAGGAAATCCCTCTCAATTTTTCTCTCACCTCATTGGTCACTCTGCTCAGCCTCTGTCAGTAGCTCTGCCTTATCTCTTGGGCCACTAACCCTTAGAGTGCACCTGGGCTCCCTTAGGGACCTCTTCTGTATCTGTACTTACTCTATAAGTGGTCCCATAGTGGCTTTAAACACCACTACAAACTAAAGACTGCCAAAAATATAAACATCTATAGCCGGCAACACAGATACGTATCCACTAATTTAAGACCTCCAGTTGGAGGCTTTGGAAATAACCTCTCCAAAAGAAACTCTTGATTCTAACTCAGCCTCCACTGCTTCCTCAGGAAACTTGTACTTGCCGTCTCTTCTGCTTAGAATGTTCCTCACCCAGACAGAGCTGTCGCTATATAGGCACATGACAATGGTGCTTCTCTTATCCAAATATCTGTAGGCCTGGCTCCTTCACTTCCTCCAAGCCACCTGCTCAGAGAGGTTTTCCTCAGCTCTGCTGCTTAAAATATAACTGCTCCTTGTCCTCATCCTTCTCTATCCCTTTACTCTGCTTTATTGCTCTTTCAAGCATTTCTCACAACTAGCGATGATGCGTATGTATGTATGTATGTACGTATGCATGTATGCATGTATTTTGTCTCCTAAAACATGAAGTCTCAGGACATAGAGTTCATATGATTTGTTTATTGATGGAGCCCATCAATGGTCCAATGATATAGATAAGGAAACAAAAAACCAGAGAAGTAGAGAAAAGCAGGTGAAAGGGGGAGTATAAACATGGAGATGATGAGGAATCCTAAATCAGAGCATGTGATAGCACACAGAATGTAAGTTGATAAAATTCCAACATTACACGTACTGATTTTGTGACTTACGCAAGTTCCATGGTATTTTTAGCCTTCGATGCCCTCGTCTGTAAAGTGAGGGTGAAAATAATAGAGCCAAGCTCCGAAGGTTCTTTTGTTCATGAAATGGGGTGATGCCCATAAACCAACTAGCTTGGCATATTGCAAGCTCTCAGAAAGAAATAATATGGAGTATCCTCAAAAATGTATGCACACACTTTGAATAATTATAAAGGCAGTGTTTATTAAAATACATTTCATTTGCAAAATTGAGCTATCCGCTGTTAAAGTGTGCATACATTTTTTGGGACACCCTGTATTTTATATTTTCCAAATCAAACGTGGGATTTTCTAGAACAATAAACAATAACTATCAGCAGCAAAGTCTCAATCAGTACCACTTTGAGATTTTAACTAAAAATTAATCTGGTTGCCTGTCGAGGTTATGTGAGAAGGTGTTTATTTCAAACATGGAAAAATCCCTGGGAAGTTAGAGGTCCTATTGAGCCATTTGTATTTTTAAGTTGTTTATTTAGATTCAGCTTTTCTGAATATGGTTTATATGCTGTTGCTACGATGTGACTTAATCTCTCTATCCCTCTGCCTAGTTTTTAATACACTTTAGTGGTGGGGCTGGGGGAGGGGTGGGAAATAAAGCCAGAATATGTAATTCAGTGCAAGACAGGGAAGTTACCCACTTGCTCAGCCATAGCCTTACAGTGCAGTGATACAGCCATTTGCAAATCATGGAAAGCTAATGTGTGCGTGGCATTTTCTTTTACTATAGCTGCTCAGAAATGATTATTTCTCATTAGTTCTATTCTGACTTGCTCCTTTGTCATCTGGCATGCCCACAGAGAGAATTAACCCCTTGCTTCTCATTTTTCCCCATAATATTCTCTTCATTATGCCAGTTACCACCTTGTGAGAACCAAGACTATATCCTATTAATCAGTACATTGCCACTGCAGGATGCTGCGCTGGGCAAACACAGGAAATAAACATTTTTTAAACCTAAAATGAAGTGAATATCTGAATGTAGACATGGCTGAATATATATGCTAATTAAATACCTCTTCAGCCATTAGTGGTACCCTAGTGTAACACCGGAGATCAAGATGTGTGGGAGTAGGAGATGCTACAAAGTGTCCTTGATTTTCAAATAATGACACCAGGTTGACCTCCTGCTCTAGCCCATCTGATCTCTGGTCTGAAAGAACACATGATAGCTGTGGTCTGTGTAAATGTGGCATTTATCTTCATGAGTGTAGTGATGAAGAATGAATCAGGACTGGCATGGTCCTGGCTGACTTATCTCTCCTCACAAATGAAGATAAATAGCACAACATATTAGCCACTCTGCATTATACATATTGATTCCACATTTGCACCCCCACAAACAAACATACACTCGGCTTTCCTCAACCTGATTGTCTTTCACTTTCAAAATATACAGTGAACAATAACAACAGAGAACCTGTGGAAAGTCAGAGGGAAGAAAAATGCTGAAATAACTTTTATGAGATAAGCCATGTGACCTGTAAGCAGATACTGCAAAAGACCCTATCTCCGGGATCTATAACATGGCTGCAAGCCTCAAAATAAGATTTCCACCCTCTGTGGCTGCTGTTGTTAAACTACTGATATGAGAAAGTTAAAAAGACCCCCAAGGTTACTACACTGGGCACTCTCCAACCTATGGAAAATTGCTAAGATGGTGGTTTTTAACACAATGGTTTCCAAGACCTCCTCCTGGTCATCTAACAGATAGTCCTCTTAGTTTACTTTTAATATCAGATGCTATTAAATATCTTCAAATGATAGCACACAGTTTTGATTTCTTAATTGAACTAGTATGTCTTCATTAAGCTTCTAAAATTGTGGTAAGGTGGACAGGGTGCAAAAGGCTGAATACTGATATCATTAGGGATGCTATCCCTGCCCAACTCTCATGGTTAGATGTGGTACTCAATGTCAGCCAGTTATTGGATATTGCCTCTTCTAGGTTCTAATGCTGCAGGATGTAGCATCATTTTAAGTTACTGTATTCAAATTGAAACCTGGCCCTGTTGGGGAGAATTTAGTCCCCTCAATCTAGTTCACTAGAAATGTTTATGTCTAGATTATCAGAAAGCCAAGTCTGTCCTTGCCAAGGCAGTTGGAAGTTCCAGTCTTCGCCCGTTACTGCCCATACCCAAATTTTCCTCAATGTCGTTAGTCCTTCTCTCCATTTAAGAGTGGGCAATGTACCAATGTACCTCTGCCTGCAGGCAGAACAAATCCTGGCCATCTTCTCTAGCGTAATACTCATACTCAGCCTCATGACACCATTGCTTCAGATTTAGCTCTTATCTTATGCTCCGTTAGCTTATACTGTATGCTCTGTCTACTGGAAGTGCTACCAGTTTGGCTCCAACACCATGACTTCATATTTACTTGTGATATTCTTGTGGGACTTCTGTCCTCTTCACTGAGTCTAAATCTTACTCATTATAACATATCC